GGCGAGCACAAATAGTTCAGTCGTAGTTTCCACTCGTCAGTCGCATGGCAAAGGCTGCTGTTTCTACCGTGCCTCAACTCCCAAGTCCCAAGCTCCTTTATCCGGTGCCATTTTACAGTGGTCACGCGCACGCAACCGGCGCCAGTGGTGAGACCTCACCTGAGATGACTATGACTCGTCGGTAACAAGTCAACGGCTGTGGATTGATCACCACCCATACAAAACCCCTGAGGCTCTGATGAAGCTGGCCCAGGGGCCAGGGGGCAGGTCCCGGGCCAGAGACAGGGACGCGAAATCTAACACGTGATTATCGATCCACCCGGTGCCCGAGACCCAGTCCCCTGAACTCGTGCCGGAAAGGGAGGGCCAGATTGAATGCCGGTAGCGCCCCACTCACTCTCCGCGCACCGCCGGCCCGGCTCGTGCCGATCCGCGGCGCATGTGCCGGCACTCCAGCAGAATCAGCGCAGACGGTGACGCACGTACGCCCTGATCAACTTGCCATGTTACCCCGGTGACCCGGATCGGTCCCGGGTAGCAGGTGGAAATGGAATTCTCGCGCGCCCGGGGAATCGTCGCCGTCTCGCCACAGTTCAGTAGCCACGCCGCGCGGCTTATCCGAACGGGCGGCGGCCGGGTACATGCATGCCACTTCGCGCGCATGCCCGCAGGTCGGCAGCCGCATGCCCGCATGTGCGTGGGGTTCCCACGGGTGAAAAATTTGCATTTTGGTCCTTTTTTTAAATATTTTTTTACAAAAAGACCCCTGCTAAAACTTTTGTTATAAATAGACTATTTTTAAGCGTCTTAGGAAATCACGACGAGGTTTGAAGGTCGGCGTCGACTGACACGACGTCGAGTCCTTGCCACGTCACCGACGACTCCGGGGCTGGCGCATGGGGGCCAGTACGTCGGCGTCGTGTCAGCCAACGCCTCAGGCCTAAATTCGGCGCTGTGGGGAGTCACGCCGAGCTCTTGGCACCATTCGGCGCGCGGCCCAGGCGGCCCAACAACGCTTCGTGGGTCAAGAGGTCGGCGTGCGATCAGATGACGCCGAGACGCTAACCTCGGCGCGGCCCGACTCAACGCCGAGGTTCGGTCAGTTGAGGCCGCGCCGCGGCCCCCTTCTTCCTCCTCCCTCCATTCAGAACCAACATGTGGCCATTTCTCACTCCCTCTCTCTTCCCACGAACCCTAAATTCTAAATCCAGCTCTTGGGAGGCCAGATCGAGGGTTTTGACGTTTTGCCAAGGTACTCCTCTTTCTCCTCTTTCATTTCATCCATTTAGATTCGGTTGTTTGTGTTTTTTTTTTGAACTTGGCATTATAGGTTTGGTTCATGTTTATGTCATTCGTGCAATGTATGGTGGTTCAAATGATTGAATGACCTAAATGTATGGTTGTTGTTGTTGTTGTATATGTTCTGGTTTATAATCATTGAGTTAAATTTTGTGTTTGTTGGGATTCAAATTTGCTTAGAGTTTGTAATGAAAAGCTTATTTGTGAGGTATGGTGATTTAGTGTTAGTAGCTTTACATTCGTTGTAAGGTACTTTGGATTGATTTTTTTTCTACGTAATGTTAGGATGCCAAGGCGTGGTAAAGCTCGTATTCCAAGGTAATCCCAATATTTATTCATTATTTGTGCAATAAATAGAAAACCCTAGGTTTAGGTTTGGTTCTCCGTTAATACGACTAAATTCTTTCAATCGTAGCTATGGTCGCCAGAGGGCAAATCCCTACGACCTAAAGCCTCTCTCTGAAGGTGTTCCTCGACCCATGTGATTTTATGGTGATCCTTGCAAGGTAGACATCTCTGAGAATGAGGAAACATATAGACAGAGGTACTGGATGTGTCCCAATTATGCATGGGAACCTACAAAGCAACAGTACCGCGCATCGATTGTGAGGAATTTTTATTGTGTGTTAATTATTTTTCTTGTGATATTAAGTATTGCTTATTTATTTGTTTTGTAATAATTTATTTTTCTTGCAGACCGTTCCACCATTATGTGACTTTGAGCAGTGGATTGACACTGAGATCAAGGAGTCGGACAAGCAGCATCTAGAAGGCCTTAAGGAGTGGGATGCGGAGATTAAGGAGAGGTTTGAGCAGAGACGCGGACAATAGGCTATAGAAAAGAAGCATAAGGAAGAGGAGGAAATGAGGCGTGTTGCTGCGTACAGGGCGGAGAGGGAGAAGAAGCTTGAGCGTGTGCGCCGAGCGAAGGCAGCGATGGAGGAGAACCCCGATGCCCAGAGGAAGGGAAAGTAGCCTCGTTGCACTCAGTAGGTATTTGGTTTATTCATGAGCGATGTCTGTAGCCCTAAACTTTTTTTACTATGTTGTAATGCACTCTACTTTTATTTCAGATGAACTTATTCCCTGGACTCTTTTTTATTATGTTGTAATGCACTATGCTTTTATTTCAGATGGTCTTATGCCCTGTACTTCGTTAACTATCCTAGGACTGTAGTGCTACTGTTTGTATCACTGAAAAGGCTACTTGTGCTGTTGCAGTCACTGAAAGGGCTACAAGTATTGTTGCACTCAATGAAAAGTCTATTTGAAAACTCACTGAAAAGCCTAGATTCGTTTACTGTTGTATCCGTATACGCAATGAATTAATATCAGAGTGATGTACTGCATTTAGATGAAGTGACAAAACATAGGTGTAGCCTTTTCAGATGAAATGACCAGTCATGGTTGTAGGCTTTTCAGATGAAGCACATAGCCTTTGCAGATTCAATAAATGAGTACGCATATAAGTTTTTTGTCAAGTAGCATTCATGGTGAACCTGCCTTCATCTCTATATATGGTGCTCCATGTCTTGCTCCACATCCACACAACTTATTTTCTGGTTTAGTTTTAGCAAATGTCGAGCGGAGGTTCCTCGAGTGGAAAGGGTTTTGGCGGAGGGAGAGGAAAGGGGGTGAGGAAGGGACCTCCGATTGTGTGGGAGGGTTCTCTGGGTCCTGATTCTTTTGAAGAACCAATAGAGGAATTTCCTTTGGAGAGGAAGAGTGACTTCACCCGTGAGAGACCTCTTAGATCATACGATAAGCGCATTGAAGATTGACCAAAATGCTACCACGGTTTGGATTGCGTTGTGCAGATGTACAACGACTATGACGGTGGAGACCGTCGTTTCTTCAGATGCCCGCGAGGATTTGTATTTTCTTTGAACTCTCTCCTTTTTTAGATTTGCATTTGGTTTGTAGTAGTACTTATTGGTAGATGGGTTTTCAGGATTTAAGCTGTTTAGATAACTGTGGCTTCACTAGATGGGTCGACCCTCCTCCTATCTATCCCCATCAACAGTACATCACATATCTACAAGGACGCATCTTTGACCTATAGTATGGCCCTGGAAGTGGTAACAGGGACAAGTTGGACGACGACAACATCAATGATGCAGAGAAGGCACTACGCAATAATCCGTACTGCCAGTGCTCGTACCATAAGAAGCACGGGCCTCCTTCTCCACCGCCACCGCCATCGCCACCGTCAACTGGAGGATACTATGGGGAAGGCGCAACTCAGTTCAATATGTGGGAGCATTATTAGGACCAACCTTTGTTAGTCAATCCGAATGTGGAATGTTTGTATGAGTTGTTCTTTTGAATCTCCTAAGGCATGCTAGGTTTAGTTTGTAACATGTCATTGTTAGTTTTCATGTAAGTGTGTAATCGTAGTACCTTTGCAACGTCTGTATCACTTGTTTCTTTCAATCCCCTAAGGCATGCTAGGTTTAGTTTACGACATGCCATTGTTAGTTTTGATGTGAGTGTAATCGTTGTGCATTCGCTATTTCATAAATTGCAGTTTACCTACCTCTAAGTTTCATGTACTATGGTTGATTCCCAAACTGAAAAAAGATTTGACTCTCTCTAAAAATAGGAGATTAAAATCGAACCAACCTTCGGTTTTTCCTGTAGGAACAAACATAAATATAGCATGTCTACTCTTATTAGTATAACTCGTGTTAGTAGAAGAGGAATCGTTGAGAAAGATTTTTCATTTGAATCATACAAATAGGATTTCAACCTATACCAAAGGTTTAGAAGACCTCTGTCTTTAATACTTTATTCTTTCTTTTTTATGATTTATAGGCTCGGCATCAAGTCAGACGATGCCGAGGTAGAAGACCATGGCGTTGATTCAGCCCACGCCAACCCTAGGGTTTGGCTCGGCCGTTCACGCCGAGATTAACGGCTTGGCGTTAATTTACGGAACACCGAGCTTGGGCACCTTGTCGCTTCGAGGCAAAGGATTCCAGTATGCACCAGGGGTCAGCGTCAATTGACTAAACGCCGAGGTGCCCACCCTCGGTGTGTGTTCAATTGACGCCGAGCTCCTGGGTTCACCAAAAACAATGAACTGAGCATACACATAACACATAATACACAGAATACATGACAGAATACATGAGCATACAGAATTTCACATAACAAATGACCACATCGACATACACATTCATTCAACATCCATACATACATAAGGTCCAACACATTCAACATCCAACATAGTCCAACACATTCAACATCCATACATAGTCCATACATATGCTTCATCAATCATCCAACATAGTCCAAACATAGTACAAGGTCCATACATAGTGCATTACATAAGGTCCAATGCATACATAGTCCATGCACAAAAGAAGCATATGAAGTCTTTGGATCTTTTAGCTCGCTCCTTGTCTAATGCTCCATCATTTTCTCCTTGACTCTCCTTTTTCCTATAGTAGCCCATTTTCACAACTTTTAGCGGATATTGAGCTAAGTTAGAAACCATTAATGAGACTACCTTCACATAGCTATTTGGTGTTTGCTAAAATCTAAGCCAAGTATCATGATTACCATATCAAAAGATGTACCTTAACGTGGACGGCGAGTGTAACACTTTCCCTCCCAAACAGATAGGTACCTGGAGTGTACCTGTCCACTGGTCTGAGCGTCCTCTGTGGACGTCCAGAACCAAAGGGGCCTTGAGTTCCTTAGGGTGCATCTTCAAGCTGGGACATGCCAATCTCATCATACTCATGCTCATAGTACTCTCCCTGTCCTTCATCATCTTCTCCCTGGTGTTCTCCTTCATCATCATAAGGACCATGTCCTTGACCACCCTCTGCACTAGTTGCTGCACCATGTGAAGAAGTCCCACCAACATGTGCACCATGTGAAGATGAAGTCCCTCCAACATGTGCAGTAGAAGGTCCAGCACCAAGCTGTTGTGGGACTGCCACATCCGGGGCACGTCTACATCCAAGGCGTGCAGCTACCTTTCGGAGACGATGCATGGCACGCTGCATTTTGAAAGCACTATTAGTAAGTGGGGTTGGTCGCAAAACTATATAAAGATGTAACATCAACTGAATGACAGGAGACTACCTGAATGTGCTGTCGTAACATGGAGGCCTCATCAGGATCGCCCACAGGAATCATCAATGCCCTTCCTTGCTCGGCCACTGTCCTCATTATCTCCGTGCTCTATGCAACAAAAATAAGAATTTAAGTCTCCATCACAGTAAAGACCTCAGAGATGGAAATAGTTGTATCACTTACAGCTTTGGCTAACGTAGGGGCGATCTCAACTTGCCTGCCTTCTCGGGTAGCTTGGTCATATGGGTTGTTGCCCTCATCCTCGCTCACAATGTCAGCAATGTCTTGCTCTGTCCAAGCGGGCCTCAATTGAAGCCTTGTTCGTTGACCAAGTCAAACAAGGTAATCATCGAATGCCTTGTCATGATGGACGGCGTGGATGCCCATGTTGTTCTGCTCCATCAACATCCACTCACTAATGTAGCGCTGGTGCTCCAGCTGCCAGTTGGTGATCTTCTTCTTTTTTTGTCTGTTGAACCTGCAAATTTTACACCATAGCGGCAATATGAAGGCCTACTCAATGATTCATTCATGTGAAACGAACAAAATATTGCATGTTACATACTTGTGGAGCTGCCAACCGGTGGAGAAATCCTCGGGCGAAGAAGGCTGCAGCCTACCAAACTGCCGTGCTACACGGTGAGGGAGATGGTACTCCACTACATAGAAACAAATAAGGGGGGTCCTCATCGTCTAGACGTCCTCGTTTGTCGTGCACAAGGAGCTCAAGTTGAGATCCGTGACTTGCCTCCGCCGATATGGGCGCCATTCAACCTGTACACAACGTCGTCATCAACTAGTCGACGCTCAATTTGTGCACATATCCTCGATTAGGCCAAAAGGGTGGGAAACTTACATGCTGTGGTAAAAGGGTGTCCAGCTCGTTGGTGAAGCTGATGTACGCGTGGCGTGACACGTGGTAAGTTCTGTGGGCTCGCTCATAGAGGTGTGCCACGGTAGGGGCGACAACTGCGTCTCCTTGAGGAAACCAAGGTTGTGGGGGATCAAACTGATGCGGTCTCCCAACTGGAAGCCTCTTCCACATCCAAATCTGCAAAAAAGAGTGGAAACTTGCATGTTAATCACTTTTGTTAAGAAAAAACATTGAATTGTAGTGGAAACTTGTACAACTTTGCTTTATTACCTGCAACAGTGTGATGCACCCTGACATTGTAGCGTGCGCGCCTCCAGGACGGCGGCAAGCCTCGCAAAGCTGACGATACAGGAAGGCAAGTATAGCCGAGCCCCAACTCCTATTGTCGGCATCCTCCTAGTTCCAAAGGCATGGGATGTACATCCAGGACGCCGTGTCTCCAGTGTCGTCAGGGAAGAGAACCATACCAAACATGTGTAGGACGTAGGCCCGACAGTAGTATGTCACGGTCTGGGCGTCTACGTTGGGTGGGCACTCCCGAAACTACTGACGAAGCCACCTCAGGGACACCCCACTGTTGCGCCGTTTCTTGCCAACCTCAACTGTCGCTAGGGGACGTCCCAAGAAGTACAGGGGACGTCCCAAGAAGTGCTCAACCCGCTGCTGCCATCCTTTAGACTCCGTGTCTCCTGTCACTGGGAATCCTCATACTTTGACTCCAAGGATCATGGCAACGTCCTCGAGAGTGACCGTCATCTCCCCGCACGGTAGGTAAAAGCTGTGTGTCTCCGGATGCCACCGATCTATCAACGCTGTCAGCGTCACTAGGTTGAAAGGTGGCGTGCCTCGACGACAAACACGAGCAACAGTAGCAAGGTTCGCCAGCTTCAGGAGGGGCGTGTACCTCTCATCGTAGACCAAGGTCGTAGAGGCCTCATGTGTCATTGGCCTCAGCACATTCAAAACCTACAAAAAAAGACAAGCATGAAAAAGTATTAGTTCATGTCACTTTATAAAGAGCATGGACTATAGAGCAAAAGATGAACAATGCATTGTTTCATACGAATTATTGAATATACCTCTCCGTTCTCGATCCTCCGAGCCCGGTGGTGCTCATCGAACCTTGGATCAAGAAGGGGGAACCGATCCATCCTGCAACATAAGGAATGCCAAAGCATTAGTATAAATTAAAACATGTATATGTGGTACGAAGTAACATAACAATAAAAAAAACAAAAGTAAACCAATGCACTATTACACAAAGCAATTCAAGTAGCTAGCTTGGTGGATACCTATTGTCTAAGTAGTTCAGGACATTTTCTCTTATTGTGGCCCGTCTTATGGCAACCAGAGCAATGGCTCTTTTGGGTGTCATCTACAAAATATGTCCCAACCTTACTCGTGGTTGATCTACCTTTCGTGGCTCGGTCCATGTCCATCCTAAACCGCTTCCGCCGCCTAGGTCCTCTACTCTTCCAGAGTAAACCAAGATCAGCCACATACTTGGGGCCATCATAAGTAGGCCATTGACTCTCGTCAAGAAATGGCTCGAACTGAGGATTCCAGGTGCTCATTAGGTTCCTCAAAGAGAACTCTGCGGCCATACGGGGAGGAACCTCAGCGTCAACACGTCTAAGGTGATAGGCTGTAATCATGTGGGAGCAAGGCCTATGGTATATGGTTGGTTTTCCACACGTACACTTGTTCTCATTGATCACTACTTTATGTTTTCGAGCACCCCGGTCTTCACCACCAATGTTAGTTCCACCACCCTCTAGAATCTTATATCCATGGTTGATCGGATCGAAACATGAACCCTTCTGTCGTTTAGACTTTTTCTTTGAGAAAGCTAGTTCCTGAGATGCTAAAAGTGGCCAAGCTTTGCCTGCTGTCCATAGAGACCTCGCATGCTTCTTCCTCGAAACGAACCAAGCATTCAACTTGTAGAAGGTGAATGAGGCAATAGCAGTCACAGGCAGACCACGACAACCTCTTAGAAGGCTATTGAACATCTTTGCCATGTTACTAGTCATGAAGCCCCATCTTCAACCTCCGGTGTCATATGCATCTAGCTTGTCTTTTAATAATTGAACCTCTTGCTACCTGCAAACCTCCTCAAATAATTTGAAGTTGTCCTTTGTGTGATCACGCCTTATAAGATTCTGAGCAAGGTGTCTGGTGCACCACCGGTGATGTATTTGGCCGTAAACAGGAATCTCTTGTTCTACGGCATTCAGAATGCCAGCATGCCTATCAGATATCACACAAACATCATGTCCCAGACCAATTACCACTTGTCTTACTAGCCTGAGAAACCAACACCAACTATCCGTGTCCTCCTTCCGAACAATCGCAAAGGCTAATGGCACAAGCTGGTCTTCTGCATCTGTCCCAATACAAACAAGCATTGTGCCTTCAAATTTCCCTGTAAGAAAGGTCCCGTCAATTGAGACGACGGGCCCGCAATGCTTGAATGCTTCGATTCTCTGCCCGAACGCCCAAAAGGCCCTTCCAAATACCTAGCTACCATTCCTTGTTTCACCCTCCTTAGGTAAATACTCAAAGTGCATCTCAGGATTTATAGCCCTCATTGCGTTCAACATTACAGGGAAGCGCTCATAAGCTTCTTCCCAATTTCCAAATATTATTTCTAGTGCACGCTGCTTTGCCCTCCATGCTTTTCCATACTTGACATAGTAATTGTACCGTTGGAAGATGATCTCAACCAACATGGACACCGTAATGGTTGGCATATGCTTCACCACGGGGCATAACTGCCTTGTAATGAACCTAGAATTGAGCTGCAGATGATTCTCTTCTGCCTCAGCAGTGACACAAACATGTGGTTGCTTCATTGAGATAATCTTCCATTTGCCTGCCTTCGTCTTCCTAGCACATACTCTCCAACCACACTGTTGTTCTTCACAAGCAACAGTGTACCTCTTCTCCTTAAATGAATTGATGACCCTAAAAGGTCGGTTGTGTACAATGGAGTACTCTTGCAACCATGTTTTCAACTCATCCATGGTAGCAAACAATATGCCCTTCCGTATGATGAGGCAACCGCTAACATCAGGCACTGTTGTATCACTTGGCCCACCATCAGCTACTGCCCTGTGACCATGGCTAAGGTCCTCGAAATCACCAACTAGTGGATCTCTCCAAGGCAAGACCCTAGACAATATCTCTATTTCCCTAAAATTGAGACGACCAACAGGGCGATCGTCATCAGAGTCTTCGGCTATCTCCTCTATGAAGGATTCATCATCTCCAGCTATCTCCATGTCAAAACGGTTCATAGCCCTAGCATCACCAAAGTCTTCTTCACCACTAAGATCATCTTTGTAACACCCCGCCTCAGGGCTTAATAGGATTAATAGGATACTCATACCAACAAGTTGCAACTTCTTTTCTGGAAGCCCATCTCTTAAGAACTCCAAGGTTAAGCGTGCTTGGCCTGGAGCGATGGGTGACCGACCGAGAAGTTCTTCCTGGGGGCGCATGAGTGAGGACAAAGTACGCAGAAAAGACTGGTGTTGATATGTGAGGGCAGTCTATGTCATAGGAAAGCTATCAAATGTAAGCGGGCCTAGCCTCAAGGAGGCAGGGCGTTACAATCTTCGTCGCTAAGCTCATCCTCAGTAGAAAAGTCTCCGCTAGCATCGTCCAAACCTTCTTCTACATCACCAATTACATAATCATCATCCTCTTCGTCACTATCATGATTGCCCTCACCATCGGCAACCGTATTCTCCTCCTCATCTCCACCGCCCTCAAACCAACCTCCATCACGCTCGAGCGATCCAAACACTTCACCACCACTGTAGCCTAGTTGTGTGACAAGTATTTCTTCTTCAGACAAAGGACCATAACCTATGTGAGCGGGGGAAGATGGGCATGCTTCGAAGTTATCATTTTCTAAGCCGGACTCCTTACTTACTACTAAATCCAAAGATCGCACTTCTAAGGCCAATACAACTGCCTTATAATTATTCAATTCAGACTCGCTTGTAATTTTGAGCAACCGCTTGATCCGAGGACCCTTCGACGACCCAACATCTATGACACCTTCAAACTGAACATGCACGTCTCCTTCATTCTAGCCTAACTTAACATTCACTCACTCCACTAACTGGGTCAAAGATGGTGTTTCAGAAAAAATCAACAACTCCTCACACATGTCCAGAAATTCCAAACTATCATCTCTTGTCCTAACAATACGGCCTCCATGATGCAACCTCACTAATTTATCCATCTACAGCCATCACACAACAAGTAGTGTCACATATCAATATATCATGCGAGTTTCAATCCAATAAGTAGAATCTAAAATATATCATTTCATGTTTTTCAACCCTAACAACATAATCATTTCTAGTCATAAAAAATTGAAATCTAATGACCAAAAAATAACTAAAATACATACTAACCCTAATGACCAACAAATAACTAACCCTAATGACACCTACAATAAACAAAAAACCATAATGACCAAAATAACTAGAAACCAAACTAACCTAACATGTTCAGCACATAAAACAGTTAAACAACAATGCACTCAATCAATCTAAGCCATACATTTTGCAAATGCAAATACACATATACCAAAACACCATACACCCATGATTTCACATGATTAGAGACAATGCAAGCACATCTACGCGGATAGATTGGAGGAGGGGATGGACCATTACCTCGAGAAAGCTTCGGGAGATGAGATCCGGACACCTAGGGTCGCATTTGGGGGTTAGGGTTTCGTGGGGGCCGTGGGGGGAGACGAACAGAGAGCCAGCACTTTCAGAATGGAGGGAGAAAGAAGAAGGGGGCCGCGGCGCGGCTTCAAGAGTCCAGACCTCGGCGTTGAGTCAGGCCGCGCCGAGTCTGGTGGCTCGGCGTTAAGTGACCCCGCGCCGAGCTATTGGGCCACGAAGCATTGTTGGGCCGCCTGGGCCGCGCGCCGGATGGTGCGAATAGCTCGGCGTGTAGTCCCACCGCGCCGAGGTTGGGCCTGTGGCGTTGACTGACACAACGCCGACGTGTCGGGCCCCATGCGCCACCGTGTCACCGTCGACCGGGGTCGTCCGTGACGTGGCAAGACCTCGGCGTCGTGTCAGTCGACGCCGACCCTCATACCTTGGCTTCATGTTCTAAGACGCCTAAAAAATGATCTATTTTCAGCAAACGTTTTGGCATAGGTCTTTTTGTAAAAAATGTTTTCAAAAGGGACCAAAATGCAAAATTTTCTCTTCCCACGGAGCCAATGGGATTGCGCCGGCGCGCGTCGTATCCGCCTATCCGGTGTCCGCCGCGGCGCAGCCGCCGCTGGATCATCGATTAATTTGGTTCGTGTGTGCTCGCGGCCAACGTGCATGACCTTTCCTAGATCCGTCAAGGCCTCAGCAATGAGACAAGTGCACGCGCTGAAAAGGAGGAGGTTCTCATTTTTGGATGTGCTAAAGGTGCTAAAGATTCAATTTCTTAGCCTGAGGAAATATCAGTTGAACGATGGTACATCAGTTGAAATTTCAGTTCCAGGCTCTCTTTGATAACAGTGTTAGCATTAAACAACAACATTGGCCAATGTTTTTGCTTTTTAGTTCTTTTCCATTGAATAACTCTCTTCGGAGGGGTTTTAGTAGTGAGTGGCAAACTTGCAGGATGGCGTAATCATACGTCCTGTTCGTTTGGGCTTGTTTGGCTAATAAGTCACGACTGAAAGTACTGGTAGTTGATTTAGTGTGAGAGAAAAATATTATTCATTGGCTGAAAAAGTACGGCTTATAAGTCAAACAAGCCCAAACGAATATGGTGCTAGTTGTGAGAATTCTGAATCTATGGTTAAACGAGGGCACGATAGTACTGAATTGGCCTGACAAGAACGGTGAATACTCAGTAAATTCAATGTATAAGTTTCTTGTCACTGTCAGCAGTGATGTCTGAGTTAGGCCTGTTTTTTTTTTAATCTTATGTACAACTTGTTGGCGGTAGTAGCATTGGCAATTCATAATAATGGTGGACTAGTGCTTGCTTGTAGAAAAGAATCTGAAGCCAAAACTAATTTTCCCATTAATAAAATAATATTCGCTCTATCTCAAAAAAATACAATCCTCACTCCTCAAAGAGTCAAACAATATGTACAAAGAAGTACCAACATTTATGATACCGAATAAGAATTATTAGATTAATTATAGAAAACAACGGCCACTCTAAATAGAGACATGAATACTGATATTTTTCCTATGAACTTGATCAAATTTAGAAAAGTTTGACTTGTTTGAAACTTGGAATTGCAATTTTCTTTTGGTATATATAAATTAAGGCAGGTGACAATGATTACTACGCTGGGTGGGCCGATTCCTGATCGCCTTTAGGCCTTTCCGAGTCCATCAGACCTCCGGGCTCAGCCTATGACATCTGCGGCCCGTGTTCAACCTGGCCAGCATCTGTCAGACAGCCCAGCAACGGTCCCGGCCCACGAGGCGACAGCGCTGCTCTCCCTTCGCAGGACCGTTCCCACTCCACCCTGGGAACCAAACAACGCCGGCCGGACGTCCGGTACTCTAGCTATCAGTGGCGGACCCAATCCGAAAATGAAGGTAGGACGGACTTACTTACCGACTTAGATTACAAATTCTTTTACTAAAAACGAAAACGTGCATAACATGAACAAAAGCTGTAGAACTGCAAACGAGACTCAAGATGGTACCTTTTAAGGTATGAATCCACAATAATGCATATTTCAATTGAGAATTATAGAACAAAACTTGTCAATTTAAAAGATAAATCAATTAGAAAAAGGGCTTATGAAAGACTTTTCCCCTAGTACTTCTTGTTCTTTTGATTCGGCAACATCACGATTGGGCCGAGTTATACGACTTGTTGAATTTCTAAGCTTTTCAAATACCATCACAAGATTTACAGCTTCGACAGGACCACCGGCCACACAACAACGGGGCAGCGCACAGCCCACCGGGGCAGCCGAGAGCCCGAGATGTGGAGGTTGTGGGCTGGTCTCCCTAATGCCTAAACGAGGCCCATGGCCCAGTAAGGCAACAGGCTAGCTAACGGTTCAGAAGGCCAGAAGGCACAAGCCCACTCCATGCCGGACGCCTGCCTGTCGCCGTATCGTCGTCAAGCTCTCGGCTCCTCGAGCTCAGCTGGTCGGGCGTCGCCGGAGGGTTGGGTTCCTGGCCGGAGGGGAGGTAGGGAGACTGCCCAACCTCGCCCTATAGGTCGGTCCGCCTATGCTAGCGATGGCGGAGATCGCCGGCGACGAGGCCCCAACGCCTCCTCCTCCTATCTCCGGCGAAGTCTCCACAGACCCGTATACTTCTATTCCTGCCTCTACCGGCAGCAACAACCCGCCGTTGCGCACGACGAAGCCCGGCGTGAAGCGCCTCATTCTCACCGCCTCCGTCCTCCTCTCCTTTCTCGTCGGTACTACCCACGACCTCCCCTATGCTATGGCTAGTGTTTTTGTGCACATCTCTGTATAACTCGCTCACATCTCTGTATGTCTCTCTTTAGGACTGCCCTTCCTACTGAAATCTACCGAGATCCATCGTTCGCCGCTGCCTTCGGACGCAATTACGGGACTCGCCCACCGCCTTCACTCCGCTCCGCCCTCCTTCCCATGCGGCCTCCACGCGGTCTTCCTCCGGTCGGTTCCCGATCGCTCTGATGCCTCCCTCACCCGTCGCCTTGAGCAATCGATTTCGGCCCAGCTCCAGCTTCTCCCAGCCACTTCTACTGCCGGTAATGTCTCGGTATCAGTCACCGTCGAGTCGGCTGGTGGCTGTTCCAGCAGCAGCAGCAGTAACGTTGACTCAGGTTGGCAGTGTGGCACTGTGACCAG